CCGTCAACCAATACAGCATTACAGGTCCTCTCCAAACCATCGATTAAGCATTTCGCCGAAGCAGAAGCAGCAACAGGTACAGCAGCAAAGGCAGAATTATCAGTTGCAAAGCAACCCCAGTTTCTACTCCAAACCCAGCAGCACTCAATGAAACCACAACCTCGATCACCCCAAGAGTATCTAACGCACTTGGCCCAGCACTCAGTGCGGAAACTACCGCGACAATATTTAGTGCAGCAGCACGAACAACATTCAATCACGCACCACCAGACACAGCAATCATTCGAGGCTTATTTACTCTCACAGAAGTCTCAGAGCCAAGAAAGGGGATTTCATCAGTCACCTCGACATCAAAAGTCTTGGGTAAACACCTGAAAACACTCCAATGAACGAAGCAGCTATCGTTCGAAACTCCCGAACCACTTTGATCGTCAGCAATGGAAACATCACCATGAAGGGTCAACTCCAAAGGTAGCTTTTACGCTTAGAGCATCTTATCATTTTATCACTCACTCCGATCATCGATCACCTACTTCCAGCATGACCAGAATGTCCGACCAGATCTTGTCAAGTAGAGCAATCACTATCTTAAACAAGTCCATATGGTAGATTTCTGTTCGTCTCTTTGCGTCGTTCGATCCATTGTTCCCTTTTATTAGTGATGGTTACTCTCCCTCTTAGTTGTATATATTTTATTTGTATATTCTTTAAGCAATTTATTTCCTTTTATATTCGTTGTTAATCTTAGTTTTATAAATATAAGTGCCAAAATTCTTTATTTTGTTTAACCAATCGTGTTTTGTTTAACCAATTTTGTTATTTTGACCAATCAAAGTGCGATTATTTTCTTTTTATATTTTATTTACAATTACCATTAACTTCCTTAATTAATCATGATTGCTTATTTTAATTTCATCAAACAAGATGACAAGCTTTTTTATTTTGTATTACCAAATTTGTATTAGCACATCACAGCACTATGTTACGCTTTTTGTTTTCATTGTAAATTAGCGTAGCTTAATTTAGGTGGGCGGCTTGTTTAGGGAACACATCAAACTTGATATTTGAATTAAATCAAGTAAGCACAACACAGCTGTTATGCTGCATATATACCTCAGTCATTGTTGTGACGCCGCCATTGTTGAAGCGTAGACGCTCACGTACCGTGATTGACTAGACTGGCCAGTTGAAAATTTTGTGATTCCACTGATTTATTAAACATGGAGTAAAACACTACAGCGGCCGGCAAGGGGCCAAGAAAGGAAGAGAGGGAAGATGAACGAGAAGACTGGCACAACAAGAAAAAGAAAAAATGCAAGTATCCCAACCCACCTATATTTAACCTCCTTATAAAATACATGTAATAAAATATAGCAATCAATTTTACTCATTCACGTCTTTAATCCTTTAACTCCTCTAATTTTACAGTCCACAGCAATAAATTTTCACCAGCTCTTAAAGCACAATTATTATGACAATATCCCTGACAGTCTTGGAAGGGATTGGCATAGTAAAGTAAACAACACTTTTTTGTCATCAAGAAGAGCTTGAAATAACTCAATACCTTTTTTTTTTTCTTTTTTTTTGGGGGGTCCTCCCCTTCCGTTAAGGCTATACGGGGTTTTCCCGGGCCAGGGAGTGTGGGTGGGGATTTTAGAAGACTCCCTCGGCACCGGGACGCGAACTCGTGACTAGACTATTTTTATATCATTTGATCGATATATCAGGTTGCTGGGCAACGGCGGTGCTGTGCACACGCGTTAGCCCATTCGGCCACCCCGCCCACAAATAACTCAATACCTGCCTGAGATGGTAATTTTTCATATAGGCATATGTTATATATTGCATAAAGGCATAATTGATATATCCCTAACATCACCACCCTCCCAGACCCCTCCTGCCCCGTAATCTTATTGTTCGACGATCCCAATAATTTTCATAATTCGGCACCTATGATATTAACCTTTTAGAGATTCTTTTGTCGTTTGTCAAGTTGACAAGCCCGATTTATTTCCTATAATGTAATAACCTCAATAATATTTACAGGGTGAATAAACAAATAAACAAACTAAAAGAATAAATAAATAAACACTCTAATTAAAGGTATTTATTGTCTGCCCACGTGCAACCCACCTTGCAGATCTTGATGAGGATAGCTTGTCCAAAAAAAAAAAAGAAATATAAATTTATTATTTATTCTTTAATTCATTTTTGATCAAATGTCGCCAAAAAAAATACGTTTTTGTGACACTTATTTTATTGCCGACATAAATAATCGGACATAAGGTGTTCCACCAACCCGTAATAGCAAACGAACGGAACACAAGAATAAAATTATATAAAAATAATATTTAAAAAAACCTGCTTATACTTAAAAGTTGCTCATGAAGCCGAACCGCCGTTTTTTTTTTTTGGTTACTAATTGGTTTTTGGTTACTGGTTGGGGCAAAAATCAATTGATAATGAAATGACACCAAATATAAAAAAATATGACTAGAAAAATAAATTTACTCCTCTATTCATAATTGTGCCATAGCCCATGTGAATTTATCTTTTGCGTTTGAGGTTTAGTATCATTTCCTTATGTTTGGATTATCATTTACGTTAAATTTATTATCATTTACTTATTAAAAAAATAAATAAATTTTAAAAAATCGTATAATTTTTTTTGACAATTAAATTAATGCATTAATATTTCTTAGTTAATACAATCAATATAATGTACCAAAAACGTTATTATAGCACTATAGCTAAGCCATTTATGAGTACTGAATGGTGTGGTAGAGGCCTGTAGGCACCTACGCCATTACCGCTTTTCTGCCTCTTAACTGCATTTTCTACGGAACTCCTTCAAATATTTTAAAAAGTAATCAGTGTTTCAGAAAGAGAAATATATTCTCCAGATGTTTTATTTCAACACATTTTGTGTTATTGTTGGCCGTTCAATTACAAATGACGCCGTATTTTCAACATGAAAATTTTTTGGTTAAAAAAAAATGACTTCACTGAAGTTTTTTTATTGTCTTAGCCAATTATTCTTTAATATTTGTTCATGTTTTATTATTCTCTGACTATCCAGCAAGTAATCAAATACCAACTATGACGTAATTGAGCCAAATGCTGATTCCCATTGACCAAAAAACTAACTAAAGTCAAAGTCGTCAGTCCGACATGTTTTAACGCCATTTTGTAGCAGTGCGTTCACTTTTTTTTGGGAAAATTGGCTTTTTAAAATAAATAGTTACAAGGAGCACAAAGATATGCAATTTATAGGGATGTGGGGGGGAGGGAGGGTGCACGGCGGGGGGTCTGGCCCACAGACTATCTGGACTGCTCGCAGAAATATTGTTTCAGGCAGCCTGTAGACTGAGGCCGCGTATCGTTAGCTCCGGCCGTTCTCAATAACTGCCACCGTGCCCAAAATAATTTTTCACTATTAAGCATCTCTTGTACAAATAAAATATTGTTTAAAAAACTCAAAAGCAAAACCAATGGGATTGAACAGGCAACTGGAAACAGACTGACTGATATATTTTATTTAACACTTTCATCTTTAATCCTAGAGAGAATTATGAACATTTCTCGAAAGGATTAATGCATAGTAATCCCCTTTAACTTCTTCTTACTTCAGGTTCAAAATATTTCTTTATTTTGCAGTTTTTACATAAAATTCAAGATGTGCCGTTTTTTTTTGTTTGTTTTTTTTTGCCTTCAGTTTATTACATTATGGTGAACGATTTATTGGGGCGTGCGATTAATTCGAATTGTAATGGAAGAATGGAGAAGACGCTCTGGCCTCCTTGTTTTTAAACTTCGTTTTGTGTTGTGAAAAGTATATATGGTAGCGTTACAATCGTGAATTAATCTCTGTATATAATCACAAATGCATATGACGTAGAAATTGGTGGAAGAAACAAGTAGGCAACTGAGGAAGCGAAGGTACGTATGTACCTTCGAGAGAGGAAGCAAGTAGAACTGGTCTAGAGATAAACACTTTGAGAATACCAAACTAATGATTGTAGGAAGAATAAGAAGACAACACTTTGATTTGTCATCGCAGTCTTATCCTTCCTATACCTTGGATTCGTAATAATACTTGAAACCGACGAAGAAGAAGTAAAAAAGAAGATTAGCAGGTAACAGTTAATTTTAGGAATATATTAATTACATATTACCAAAAATCTCTATGTACTGTATTTATGGTAAATATTCTTAATGCTAATCGAGGAACTCCATTGAGATGACAATGCTTCGTTGTTATATTGAGCAAGTCTAAAACCCTACTGCTAAGGAATATTTCTTTATAATACAATATGGAGCCTTTGGGAATAAGATAAATAATCCTGGCGGTGAAAAGATCAATGGGCGTAATACTCAAAAAATAATTATATTTCCTTTTTTTACTTTTTCATCTGGCTTTTTTTTATATATGCGATATTAATGCCAAGTGTTGTCAACTAAGAGGTCCCATTCAGTTGTCTCTATTCCTCGTAGCTCACCGCCTAAACAAAAAACACGTTGCAGTAAGCGACCAATACCCTCCGGAACTCCTCTAGCGAACACTCAAGAATCTGTACCTCGACCACAGCCAGGTACATCTTCACAAGAAATGCAAAGTGCAAGACCAAGACTTTGTTCTTATTTCTGTGTGTTCTTTTGTTATTACTTTATTTATTTATGTTTATGTATATGCGGTGTGAATGTACTCTCTGAATTCTATCATAGGTGTCCTTAACTGGGACAGATTATAATATTTCTCAATAAAAGAGTTTAAATAAAACATACAACTTTTCATCTGGATTTCCTCTGTTAACGGATATTTCAGTTCGAGGCACATAAGTTTTTCTCTTATTTAAAAAATTGAAATTAGTTTGAGAAAATGCCAGAAAAGCAATTTGTTTTTCCTTAACTTTTAAATATTTCATTTTGAGAAATATGCCAAACTTTTTTTACTGTCCATATTTTATTTTTTTTTACTTAATTTTATTTTTTCTTTACAGCTATTTTCGGTGCTAGACAAGATAGAGCCAAAATGGAGAAGTAAAGTGACAACCCTGAAAGGAGATTGCACGGCTCCCGAATTGGGCCTAAGTCCAGAAGACAAGAGCCTTTTAATATCAGAGGTTCGTAATAAAATCATTTGAACTACCTATTCATAAGTATTCATATATTTTTTGGAGACATCGTACAGGGTTCAATGCAATTACAAAGCCTGTAGTATAAACAGTAACAAGTCTTAATATTATTCATGAATAAATAAATATTAATTGTGCCTCTCATGGATTGTGGAATAGTATTACAAAGTTAAAACCGCTGCAAATTATTTCACAATGGTTTATTATTTCCAAACAATTATAAATCTAAAGTAATATTATCTTCCTAGTTACAATGAAAAATAAATAAAAGGTGATTCCAATGGACTAAACTTTTTATTTAATCATTAGTAATATGCTAAAAACATTACAATTACTTCAGTAACACATTCAAAATTCAAATACTAAAACAAAGGGTATAACCTTTGCAGTAGAACATATAAAACAAAAAACTAGAGACCATATCTTTGCTCCTAATTGTCCGATTTTAACGAATATATATTTTTTTTTAGGAAATTCCGTATACTTTTAAATAACCATATACAATATCGCCTAATATCGGTATAACGACAAAAAAAGTTTATACTTTTTGAGCTATTCAGAATTTAATTTTACCATCCCTTGTAAATTTTTTTCCAGCTTCTTTTCGCTGAAATATCTTATATAGATAAATTTAAAGGGCGTCGAGAAGAAGACTTTAGCGAAGTTTAATTGAAATCGGTACATTCGTTTAGGCGCTACAGTCTGTAACAACGCATGTTTTTCGGCCGCCATTTTGAAAGTAAAAGGCGGATAGTAATGTCGATGAAGGAGGAGCATCCTCGAATGACCTCTGGTTTTAAATCCAAATTTGAAAAAAAAAATGATCCAGTAGTTTCGGAGAAAATGCGCGAACGGCAGACGGACAAAAAAAATTGTATTCGTTTTTCGAATTCTACTTATCCTGAAACTTAAAACCTCAAATTTTGAGTGGGGGTTAAGTTTTCGAATTACAATGTTTCATTATTGAAAATAATAAAACAAAAACACTATGCAAGTCAAATAAGTAAAATTAAATGCTCAGGTAAAAATGTCTACAAACGTATCTTGCTCTTACATATTCACTAATAGCAAATATTGTTCTACATTAGTTTATGTAATTCCATTTGGACTCTTGCTCGTCCACTAAAACTGGGTAAATCAGATCCTTCTAGATATACAACTTATTCAGTTACGGCTTGTATATGAAACTAGGGTGTCCACAATGGGGTTTTCATAGTGCAAGTTGCACCATCAAAATTTTTGACGGTGACACATTTTGACAGGGTTTTGAATTTTTGAGAGGGGCACATTTCGACGAGGTTATGAATTTTTGGATTGAAAAGTTTCAAACTAGGGGACAAGAGAAAAGCATAGTTGGTTCAGTGTAAAGTGTAATTATATATGGCCTATGGTTTTTAAAATTCTACTTTAGCTTGCGCTGTTTTTAAGAAGAGAAGATAAATAAAATATCTTAGAAAGGTATGCCATCGACCTTGGGAGGAATGAGCACCTCTGTATGAACATGTACCTATACGAATAGTGGCTATTAAATAATGTATACACTGATGGTGTATATTATTTTATTTTGATTCCACACGTATTTGATTAATATCACCTTCAACATTAATCTCTCCTTTATTCTAACAACGCTCCGAACAAATCTTCCATTATCTAGAACCCTCCCCTTCTTCCCCTTTACGGCTATACGAGGATTTTCCAGGTCAGAGGTGAGGGTGAGGTATTAATGCCATATTTAAAATCCTCGGCATCTCGTAATTATTTTCTGTTTATCTGGTTAACGGGTAGCTCATGTGTAAACCAACCCATTCAATTACCTCCCCCATTTTCTGAAACACGGCTGTAAGTCTTCTTCTGGACTCAAATCTTATTCCTTTTAATGCACATTGACGAATAGTGTGTTTTTACTTGTGAAATAAATCGCTAATCCATGCCCATGGAATAGCCTCACTTCACCGAGAGCCACAAAATGTTCGAATGAGCAAATCAATATTCAAAGCAACGATGATTATTTTTCTTATATATTTGTGGGAGTGGGATATATAAAAGGAGGGGTGTGTATTGAAGGCTTTAATAAGTAAACCTGTATGAAATCAAAATAAAATGCTTTACGTTAGCAGTCTCGTTATTAATAACACTCGTTTATGAAAATGCCTTCTCTAATCAAAGTACAGCGTTAAGCAAAAGAATGCGATGCGCACACCGTGCTATTTTTTTTTGGTTTTAAGTTCTTATAAGTTTCTTGGCCGGTATCTTGGGTTAACTCACTTAGGTGGTGATACGTAACTGTGTAAAATGGTTTCGTTTTGTTGCCATACCAAATTGATCCAACTTGTTGAAAAATTTAGACCTAACTAAAACAGCGCTCTTTGTGTTCAGAAAACGTACTATTCTTCAAAACATGCTTTGTATATCAACATTTTTCAATTACGTTATTTTCAGTGTGTATGTTACTACGCTATATTCTTATCATAGTAAAATTTCCGGATGAAGCCAAGATCAATTTTTAAAAGTGATTCAAGTTGTATGGGACAGACCGTCTGTGTACGACATTATATCGCTTATGTAAACATTTTTTGTCGATCTTGAGATTTACTTTCTTTAAGAATTTTTCATTATTATATTAATTCATCTTTAATTTTTAACTCAAATAACCTTTATTTTTATATTTGTGTCCGACCCTGTATTTACAGTAGTAGAATATTGCTGTTCATAATAAGCCTATCCTGCTCTAAAATGTTTAAGCAACTGTAATTATTCTTCTTTAGCTCTACAAGTTTTCAATTTTTCTTGTCCGTCGATAATACTTTCTTATATTCCCTGTATAGTGTATAGTTTTCATTTGAATTGTACATTATTTATAAATTCTCCAGATAATTTACATCACGGGTAATTATCTGGTAATTACCTGGCCCTCCAAGTTGGGGGTTGGGTAGAGGGCTGATGATTCCCTATCTCATAAACAAAAAACTGTGTGAAAAATTTGAAGCAAAAGGATTTCAGGAAAAAGTTCCTGATGAAGAAGGAGTGAAATGTGATCGCGTCCGGTTAGTAAACGAAGTGCTCTCTGAATATCTGGAAGAAGAGAAATCCAAAACGATCACTACGGTCGCCTATAACAGTGAAATTATATTTAATAATTTTGACATTGCAATCGACCCAGGAAAAGAAAATTAATTCCTTTCACTCATAATAGTTGTGCATTGAATTTACTTATTCCCATATTATATTACGATTTGTTCACTGACAAAAATTGATATATTATGAGAATTATTCGCACGGACCAACTTATTAGTATTTATATTAACTATTTCACATATTTTGACTTTCTACAGATACAAATTATATATTACAAAGACCACTAGCGGATCCAGGATCTAATTTTTGGGGAGGGGGGCTTCAACCCGAAAACTATTTTTTTCATAAAAATAACGATAATTACTTTGGAAAAAAAGAAAGAAACTAACTACCTTTCTTCCCATATAACTTGTATCATCACAATTTAGGGTCTATAATGGCAATGCTTTTAGTTGCGACCAATTTTCCACTTCCTGTAGAATATTTTTTATTGACAACGATTATTATTCGCTAAAAGCTTTTAAGGAAAGGATTCAAAAGTATTCTATGGGAACTACTAATTCCAATCGTCCATTTTTTTGCTTTTATTAAGTTTAGTAGATCAGTAGATAAAGCTTTCTTATAAAAAATTTCAGTGCAGCACTTCTTTCAAGGACTTATTTTTGTTTTAAAGTGTGTGATGGGACAGGGTTTCCGTTGTTTTCCATAGATAAATTTTCTTTTCAGAAAATATTTGTAATTTTATTCGTAATTCATATCCCATTATAAGAAGGGATTCATTTTTGAAATTTTTAAAAGCCATGGTGACCTCGAGTGCCATTATTACCGAGTACCGTTTTACATTGGATACTTGAATTTTTAATTTATTTTCGTTCGTAAAACGCAAAAAGTTCCGAATTTTTCTTATGCATAATTTTATAGATCAGGGGTCTCCAATCTGTCCGCAGTCTATATTGGACCTACACTAAGTCCCACAGCCCGCATTGAGGCCTCCATTTAAGTCCCGCGGGCCACAGCTTGTGATGAAATAAAATATCTTCTTTTATAAATGACACTTCAGTTGTGAAATCAGTGTTATAAGAGAAAAAGCCCATGAAATAAATATTGTAGTAACCTCTTATAGGAGTAAGCTGCTAAATTTTATGTTTTTTTAATAGTTTTTAAAACTTTACCATGTAATCAAAGAAACTCTCGCAAGCCGGACTGGAAGTGCTGGCGGGCCGTAGTTTGGAGACCCCCTGGTATACATAATTACTGTTTAAAAAAAGTGGTAACGGAGCAACGTGAGGAGAGTAGCGACACAGCTACTGATGGGTTGTCGGCGCCTACTTGAAGACATGTTGAACATTGGGAAATACACGTTTTGTGGTCTCCTGAATCCAAATAACCGTCTCGCAAAATATCCTGTTTGTCTGTGTCACGGGCGGATCTACGGGGAGGGGGGGGGGGACTTTCGGGCTGAAGCCCCCTCCAAAATGGTAAAATATAACAATATTTTATCGAAAAAAATATTTAAAAAGTATCTTTTAAAGTATTATTGTTCATGTAATTACATTTAAAAGAGCTTTAGGAATCGCTAAACACCATTTCATATAGGTAGTTAGTTTCTTTCTTTTTTTCCAAAGTAATTATCGTTATTTTTATGAAAAAAAAACTTTCGGGCTGAAGCCCCCCCAAAAATAATTCCTGGATCCGCTAGTGGTCTGTGTGTATGTTATCAGTCTAGCTCAAAACGAAAAGTCGTAAGAAAGTGAAATTGCATATTTTAGGTTTTTATGTACCTGAGATGTTGCAGAAACTGTTTTGTTAAAATTGCCTAACCGGAAGTGACACTTTATATCATCGATGTTACACATTTTTACGATTTTCCCGAAAACGGCTCAAACGATTTTGACTAAACGCGGTGTATCATTGTATAATTAAGTGGTATTTAATATCATTTAGGTCTTATCCTCATTGATGTCACTTTACAGGGCTTAAATGCCCAATCTTCAACATGTCTTTCTCTAAAGTCGCTTTGATTTGGTTTATTTTAAATAATTAACTATCTCTCTATGTTAGGAATTATGAAAAAAGGCTAAATATAACTTTTGAAAGAATTTGCTTTTTGAATAAAGGAGAAAAAGGAAAAATGCTTAACCAGGTCGAAAACGAATCTCTGGAAACAATAGTCAGAACATATACGTATAATATATCGTTGGAAAGCGGAGAATTTTAGAAAAAAATACTATGTCTAATATAGAAAGGCGTAGAAGGTAATGGAGAGTGACGAAAACTTATAAATAATAATTTGTGAAAACTAATATTATTTAACGGAAATCACATATTTTCAAGGAAATTAAATGCAAATTACTAACTAAATGAAAACTTTTAAAATTTTGATAAAAGTATTTTAAATCCACCTAATCAAGGCAAATACATTGTTAAAAAAACTATTTAATTGTACTTCTGTGAAAGAACAAGTGAAATATAAAAATATCTAATTGATGTATAAACCATATTTTTATAACCTTAAATACATATACTGTGGTTTAATAATTCTAGATCTGGTATTATATTTAAATAATTAGGTATCAACGTCCGTTTTTTCGAAAAAAATCGCCATGTAATTTTTCAGAAAATTAAATTAGTGAATAATTTGATGAGTTTTCCCTTTGTGAAATTCCAACATTATCCACTTATAATTAATGTGACAAATGTTGATCTATCTGTGGTGGGCAATGAAAGTCTCTTAATTTCATTTTAGTAAACTTTACAATGGAAAATAACAATTTATTAACTAATAGGCGCACATAATCGTTTATAGGTGCTCTTAATCATTTACTGGCTGAATATGCAAATATACTTTCAAATCTCTCTAGGCATATTCATATAGCTTAGAGACAAGAGTTATGTGGTTTACAAAAACAGATGGAGTAACAAGGTTCTAAGTGCCGACCGATATAATTAATAGGGTTTTTGTTATAGATAATGATTTGTTAACTATAAGCTTTAAGCTGTACCTCCGTTAAACATGCCCTTCAAAAATTTTATAATATTCCAATATTGCCAAAAAATAATTTCTATTCAAAGTAGAGCGCTAAGTAAAAGTTGTGTGTTGCGCGCACCGGATTTTTTTTTCATGTAATTACCAAATTACTCAATTAGATTTAGTGAGATATTCATGAATATGATTCCACGATGAGATTTTTTATTTTTTATTTATTGGTTTCAGGTTGGTGTCGTGTTTCACGGTGCAGCTACTGTTCGTTTTGACGAAGAACTTAGATCAGCCTTCAATATTAATATAAGGGGGACGAAGGAGTTGATTTTACTAGCAAAGCAGATGAAATCATTAAAGGTGAGTAGGAGAACTTATATACTAATAATTTGCGACATATATGAGAAAAGCTTTTAATATGACTAAAAAATATTTTTTAGATGACATTAAAAATATAGAGTAGTTTCTTTGAAGTAGGAGACTCTGTGAAAAGGGGTTGTTCCTGGGTTCGTCACTGGTACCTCTTTGTGAAAATATGTTTTCAACGAACTGCAGGGACTGTAGGTAGAGAAGGTTCCCCACCACTGTTTACGTTGATGATTTGGCCGGAGTTGTGGCCCCAAATAGCATAGCCACATTGAAAGATGAAGCTGAGAGAAATACATTGAAGGACGACCACTCATTTCCCTAGACCGAAGCCATTCTATTAAGACACGATTGATAGGAGTGACCCTTTAAGTTAACAACGATTCAGATAGCTCTGTTTCGAGTTCCCAGATCGCACAAAATTGTGTCGCATCAGGCGGTGCTGATGTTAGTAGAGATATATCCTCGACTTCTTTCTATTACAAGAGGACTACTCCTGGAACATGATTAGGGAAGAATGCCTATTGGATCTCCCAGAGAACCTCCAAATGAGTTTATCTAAGATTAGACCAGGTTTCACCCATCGCTCAAACGAAGCTCAGCTTCGCAATCGAGTTTAATCTTGATCGGTCGACCGTGGGCGCTTAAGCTTTACTTTGAAAGAAAAACTTTACTTTGGGTTACCTAAGGTTACCCATGGCAACTATAGTAACCTTCCATGGTGTTTTTGCTTTACCACTTGTTTTAATCCTTTTTATTTATCTTTTTCCTAGGTTTTGATGACCCCACTCATTGCCTCGATTTAATTGCATTTTTCTAATGGAGGAAAAGTATATTGTCGTCGGATGAATCATTTTCTCCATTGGTCTGATGACGAAATGTTTTTATAGATTTAGATAGATAATTTTTTATAACTAACACTAATTAACACAAATTAATTTAAATTTGACTTTCAGTAAACAAAAACAAACACTTGGCGTTGAGAAGCTCACACAACAAATAACTTTAGAAAATCCAATTAGTAACCACAAGCGGATCCAGCGGGGGGTGCGCCCCCCCCTCTCTCTCCTCCCAGCTGAGAGCTAGATAAAAAATCCAAAAAAGTTCCAAAAAGCACCTATTTAAAGAAAAGAGAAATATAGGGCAAATTTATCCTCATAGACGATGAATTTCCTAATGTAATATAAAAAAAATATATTATCGTGACCAGCATTAGCGAATTCTGCCAGGGGGCGCGCCCTCCCTTGGATGCTGGAAAAAATTACGAAAAAACAGTTAAAAATCTGTCATTACCCATCGCTACGAACAATATCCCCAAGCTCCCATACTCCCACTCCATGATCCTACAGTTTGCCATTCCCCCAATAATTTTCATAACTCAGCGTCTATGGTCTAATAGTTCATCAATATAGTCGTTCTCCATCTTTTTCTTATCTAGAATATCAATTGTTATCTTCTAATTTTTCCATTATGATTTTTATAGTTAGTAATTATGTTAATTAGTTCTATTGATTATTAGTTTTTGAAAATCCCAAAACTCACTCACTTCTTGTTTCTTTATTTTCAACTTTTTTTTTCTCAATGTTTCAGAATCTTAGACCTGAATTCGCGTTCTTTCTTGTCTCTTTTCTACATAGTTTCCTTGAATTAAATCATTCATGGAAGCAAGATCAAAAAAAATTTTAAATAATTTTGTCAAAAACAGTCTAAAACTTATTTCATTTTTTTATTTTCATGACTAATATTAGAAAGTTCTTCCATAATCAGTCACCAATGATAAATATGGTAAAGTTTACCTTTATAAAAAAAATAATGAATTTATTTTCATAATTTTTGTTTCAGGCTTTGATTCACATTTCAACTGCTTACACTAATTGTCATTTGAAAATAATTGAAGAGAAATTATATGAACAGCCATATGAATACAACAAATTGGAACAAATGGTCGATAACCTGGATCCAGAAATACTTCAAAAACTACTTCCCAAGTAAATAAAAATGTGACCCTATTTATTATAGAGTGCATTAGGAATTGAAATCATATGAAAAGTCAGCATTAATAATTTATATATGATAAAATTATTTTTACTCAGTGTAATAAGATCCATGTATGGTGGCTTACTAAGGCAATCTGGAAATGATATATATATATATATATATATAAGAAAGCAAAATAAAAATATCATAAAAATAAAATTATTATTTTAATTTTTTAAATAATATAAAATAAAAGAATTTTGAATGGGAATACTCTATGCCGAGCTACAACTCACTATATACAACTCCATCCCCTCAATTGTTTATTAGACATCACTTATTAATATTTTAGGGATTCATTTGTAACTAGTCCCAAACAGCTTTACATACTATCCATTTCAACCTTAATTATATTAATATTTCAATAATATTAAAAGGGTGTATGCAGTACCGTGTTGTGTTGCCCAAATTCTCCAATGGACTATTCTTTTCTCATATAAAATATTATACACAGTACCTTATTCTCAAATTAAATAATTGCAGGTTATTATTCTCTTATTTAGATATAAAGTTAAGAAATTGTTTTATTTTGATATGTTACAATTTTCTGTTCTCTTGTGAGAAAGTTACATTTGATTTATACTGTAATCAAAGAAACAATCAGATAAAAGAAATAATTTCAAATAACTATTAAATACTAACGTACATATTTCATATGTAACTAATATATCAATACTTAACAGCTAAAATTATTTTATTTTAATTCTAAATAAATATGCTTATACAATTTTTTAATTTTTTTTATTCAGGATTCTAGGTCCATGGCCGAACACATATTCTTTCACAAAAGCAGTAGCTGAGCATGTTATCAATGATAACAGTGCAGGTCTCCCAGTAGCTATATTCAGGCCCGCCATTGGTAAGATAACATTGGTATTGTCCACAATTCTATTTATTATTACAGGTTAAGACTCCTAAACATCTTGATGTATACTTTGTTGATTACCACAGCTTCCAGTTGATTAATCAAAAAGGATGGGATAGTCTTTCTACTTTTAGTAGAAATTGATTTTAAAAGCTTTGAGAACATTACTTTAATTATAAATACAAACGTACGACAATTAATATAAAGCATTAGTTAATAGTCAAATTCTTTCATAACTTATATTATATTATCCATTTTTATTACTACTAACATTAAGAGACATTTTATTATTTCTAATAAAAAAATCTGGTGCGTTGGGCGCATTAGACAACTTTCACTTACCAACCTTAGAGCAGATGGGTATTTTTATATATAAAGAAGTCAAAGTGAAAATAATGGTATAACTTCATTTAAAACTATAAGATAACCATGTTTTTCTCACCTATTGAATCTGTTTAATTTATACCTTTGCGTCACTTTCCAGTTCGTTTTACAACTATGTATAGTATTAAACAACAATAATGATTATGGGAAAAATTCTGACTTTTATCGAAAACATTTATCATGAAACTTATCAAAAAATAACTTAACGTGAATAAATATTGTATGCTATTAGATTTATATTAATAGATCCTCAACATTATATATATAAATATTGTAACATCTCTCTTATATTTTACTAATAATAATAATACCTCTGAAGATCACTTTATACTTTTGGGATATTTCCAAAAGAAATAAGAGGTTGTTAAACAATATACAAAATTCTAAGATTATTAATATATTAAATTGAAATTTATAATTATTTTATCTCAGGTATGGGTTACTGACAATCAGGTCAAAATACTCAGACAAACTAATATTAATGACTTTTAATAAAACAGTTTTGCCACTATTTAGCCTATTTATGACCGCCACCCCGGACCATCTCCTTCCTTTATAATGCAATGGTCAACTATCAAATATTCAATATTAACTACACTAAGCACTGTTTGATTTTAAAATAAAGTCAAGTATGAATTGGCAATCTAATCTTTTTTTAAAAAAACACTGTTTCTTCCTTTGTTGCGCTAAATTAATTTGTCTTCTCGCATTTTCCTATGTTCTGACAAACATACCTTCCAAAATTGTGACACTTTCTTCTACTCAATTCAAGCTCCCTAGGAGATCCTTTCTCTTGTATTTTCAAACAACTAGTATCTCTGCCATACAACAGCTTCCAAGATGGTAACACTATTACTGGGTTTTACCCATTGGGACCAGGATCACTTCTCCCAACCTCTCTTCACTCCAGCCAAACACCAACTGCTTGCCAAAACAAAATCCTTTGTCTGTCCCCTCTCCTCTTTGGGATTTTTCTTTCTGAAGAAACTACAAAGCACCTATTTTCTTTTCCCTGAACTAGTGAAACTAGATTAGCTTGCACTTTAACTGGTACATTAATTTATTAAATCATTTTTAACAACTTTCAATTGAGGTATATACATACATGCATGCACAGTTGGCACAACAATCCGTTAACGGGTCTTGGCCTCCTCCAAAAATCTCCGCCCGTTGGCTCTGTCTGTTGCTGCAGCTCTCCAGTTCCTTGCGCCGAGGAAATTGTGTGTGTCAGCTGTGGCCGAGTCAGCCAACCTTACATTTTGCCTACCCACTTTTCGCCTGCCATGAAGCTCTTCAGCCAATGTCCTCTTTGGGATCTCGTCCTCCTTTATCCTTGACACATGGCCCGCCTATCAGAGTCTTCCAATCTTAATTCATTTGATGATATCAGGGTTTCTGTACAGTCTTGATATTTCCTGGTTCATCTTTTTCATCCCGGTGTCTCCTTCTCGAACCGGTCCGAAAATACTTCTCCATATCTTCCGTTCAAACTCCAGAAGGAGGTTCTCACTGGCTCTAATGAAGGCCCAGGTTTTTTACTTAGACGTAAGAGCCGGATGTATCAAGGTCTTATATAGGCCGATCTTGGTCTTGTTGGAGGGGAGTCTGCTCTTGAAGTATTTTACTATCCCAAAATAGCTTTGATTGGCTGCTGCAATTCCCCGGTTGATCTCCTGGGATAGGTCGTTTTGGGTGTTTATTTCTGAATCCAGATATGCAAAACTCCATACCCTCTCAAATCTGTATGGTCCAACTTCGAAGAAACCTGTCCTTGCCTCGGATGGTCCTATTCTTAAATACTTTGTCTTGGCTTCATTGCCAAGCCAAGAATTTTCGCTTCTTGTTCCAGAGCCAGGAATGCTTCCCTTACGGCAGGCTCCGATCTGGCAGGTATGTCAAAGTCATCTGCGTTCTCTGGTAACTGGACCGTACTGTTGAATAGGATGGCTTGTGTTTGGATTCCCGATCTACGCACCGCTCACTCCACCACCAAATTAAAGAGAAGGCACGCAATATTTATATGATATATAAAAGTTAAACTAACAATATGTAAGCCATGTTTCATGAAAGTTCAATTCTTTCATATTTTATATTTAACTATTTTATTATTATAATGGTGCTACGGTCCTGCAAGAACCTGGGCCTCCACTATAGCCAACCAATCTCCACGGTCTTGAGCTACTTTCCTCCATCATTGAACGCCCAGTTGCCTCAGATCGTCCTTCACATCCTCCAGCCATCATTTTTCTGTTCTACCCTACCTCGCCTTTTAGGCTATACGGGATTTTCCTGGGCCAGGAGGTGAGGGCAGGGAATTTAAAATCCTCTTCGGCCCCGGGACACGAACTCGTATCTTTTTTAATCTCACAAACTTAGGTTATCTGGTTGTCAACAACTCTCGGTGCTGTGCACACGCGTCAGCCCATTCGAACATCCTGCCCCTCAAAAAGAGATGCCAACAAAAAGCGGTTTTCCTAGGCGGTCACCCATCCAAGTACTAACCACGCCCGACGTTGCTTAACTTTGGTGATCGGACGAGAACCTGTGTGTTCAACAAAGTTATTTACTTAGTTGTGCTTAAGTCTCCATTTATGACAATATGGACTAACGAAATGTCACAAAATAGAAAACCTGTCGTTTTAACACTTGAACAGAAATGAACCATTATAAACCGAGTAGAAAGAGGCAAAATTGTTTAAAAATTGTCTGCTGAATTAGGAATTGGCGAGCAAACTGTTCGTGATATTTTTAAGATGAAAAAAGGCGATACGAAGCTGAAAATATTGTCGTCGGCCCAAATATCATGTCCTCCGAAAACAATGAAGAACATTACATTAAAAGTCATAGGTAAAGCTGTCTATCAATGGTTCATGCAAAATGTGCTGAGGAAGCTCCTATTTCGGCGCCAATGGTGAATGGTCAAAAGGATGGCTCCACAGTTTCAAAAAAACACAGAGTATCAGGCAGTTGCCCCTTTAAGGATCAAAGGGATGCTAATTCAAAAATCCCTTTTTTATCCTCTGGAATAGGATAAAGACTACCCTAACATGATCGAAAACCATATAATCCCTATATCACTCATATTCCAAAATACGAGTGGTAATTTATTCAGTGGGCACAATTCTATAAAAGTCAATTATTGTTATTCTATATGAGGGACTATTATCGGTAATTTTTTCTTTAGTCCATTTGTTTTAGTAGACTTTATCATTGAAGTAGGACCTTATTTCCAATTAGTTTAACTTTATCTTTGTTCTTAATACTTTTAATTGTGAGAGGTTCTACCTGGGCTTCTGCAATTGGTAAACCTTCTTGAAAGGTTTCTTTCTCTTTTCCTAAGAGAATACCTACTTCATTATTAATTGTAGAATTAGCTTCTTTTAGCCCTTCCATAGTAGCTTTTTCTTCTTCACTTTCTATATTATTCTCAAAAGAAGTTTCAGAATCCTTAATTTCTTTACCCTTAGGTTTCTTATTGATTATTAGGTCTTCAATATCTTTGTCTTCAAGCTCTTCAGTAATAGTTTGCTTCTCATCACTTTCTGAGTGATCAAAGGAAGTTTTCTCAGCCAGTGTAGTTTCTTGAACTTCAGTTATATTTGTAATAATTTGGATTCCTCTGTTATCACAATCTTGTTCCAAAATTTCCTGTTTATTTTCAGATTCTAATGTTTTGTTTAAATTATCAATATTTTCCAGTAAATTATGAAGTACATCCATTGTTTGTTGAAACATATTATTAGTATCAGCACAATTCAAATTGTTGCTACTACTTATATTTATTTCTTCATTTTCATTTTCATTTAACTCGTGAATTACATTTAATCTGGACAGACTTTCATTTCCCGTGCATCTACTGTTAGAGTTTTCACATTGTCTATTTTCATCAAGTAGGCTTTGTACACCTGGCTTTGCCTTATTTTCTATAGTAACAACATCCCCAATAGATTTCCCAAGAATTATATTATTAAGACATCTACCTTCCATTATCTCTCTCTGGTTATTCTCCATATTACTAAAAAATTATTTATAAAAAACTATACAATTAAAACAAATTGTTTATGTGATCTGATTGCGGTGACTTAATTTTTAAAGAATAAGGTCATGCATAGTTGAGCACCAAAATGTAACATCTCTCTTATATTTTACAAATAATAATATAACCTCAGAAGATTGCTTTATACCATTGGGATACTTCCAAAATAAATAAGAGGTTGTTAAATAAAAAACAAAATTATAAGAATATTAATATAATAAACTGAAATTTACAATTACTCTATCTCAGGTAAGGGTTACGACAATCAGATCAACTCAGACAAACTATTATTATTTACACTATTCATACTAAAATTAAACACTGATTTTAGAATAAAGTCAAGTATGAATTGACAAGCTAACCTTTTTTCTGTATACACTGTTTCTTCCTTTGTTGCACCAAATTTATTTGATTTCAAATGCTTTCCAATGTTCTGTCAAACACAACTTCCAAATTGGTGACACTATCTTCTACTCAACTCAAACTCCCTGGGAGATCTTCTTTCTTGTAATTCCAAGCAACTAGTCTCTCTGCCAAACAGCTTCCAAGATGTTAATACTATTATTGGGTTTTACCCACTGGAGCCAGAATCCCTTCTCTTATCCTCTCTTCACTGCAGCCAGACAACTGCTTGCCAAAATAAAAACCTTTGTCCCTCCTCTCTTTAGGATTTTCCTTTTTGGGTAAACTACAAAGCAGCTATTTTCTTTTCCCTAACTAGTAGAACTAGATTAGCTTTCCTTTTAACTGTTGAACATTAATTTATTATGCCCTTTTTACTCACTTCCAATAAAGGTGTACATTATAATATATTACATATATAGGTAAGTGAAAGAACAAATAAAAACCTGTAAGGAGTTTTTGTTTATTTATTCCTTGTGTTGGCATTAAATAAAAAAAACTATTCATACAGCTTTGAAGAGCAATAATATATAGTAACATCGAATTCAGAGAACATCCTGAAGAGGTATGAATAAGGGAAGGGAATAACAGAAGGGTGTTATGTCCACCAAGACAACGCTAGGCCCCATACCTCATTGATAACTCGTAATAAATTATTGAGCCTTGGATGGGACCTTTTGTCCCACCTTCCCTATTCACCAGACTTAGCTTCTAGAGACCACCACTTATGCTGGTCTCTGCAGAACTCCATGAATGAAAAGAAATTTTAAAAGGAAGAGGACATCAAAAACCACTTGAATCAGTTTTTTAACAATAAACTCCAGACAATCTATGAACATAGTATTATGCAGTTAGTGGAAAGATGGGAAAAATTATATTATATAATGGTCAAAATATTGTAGATTAAAATCAATTTCATGTGTATAATACATTGGATTTTATTTCACCCTGAAAAACCGAAAGTGCTTAATTGCCAACCCAATACTTATATTATAAATTTTTCCTTTGTTATATTAATTATTGTTTTTATTTTTTTATGTTCTTTATTTCCAGATCAGCTTAGTGATTCATAGTTAGTGTTTTGATTTAATCAATTATTTGTATGTTCAAAATTTTTAATATTAAAATATTAGATTGCTACCAATGGTTAGTTTCTCTACTATTCTTTTCTCTTTGTCTTTACTGGATGTATTTTTATTTAATATAGTTATAAATTTCATGAATAAAAATATAATAACATTACAATATTGCTATTTTTTTTTTAATTTTGAAACTTGAAAAATTACCAATATTTATCTAATATCACCTTAATGCCATTTGTAATGCAGGCATTGTTTTTCTCACAGCAATGTTGTGCTATTGGCTTTATTGAATTTTTGATAAATTTTAATCCTGAATGTTTCTTAAGTTATATAAGAAATAATTTGGTCCATGAATATTTTCTTTTATAGTTGTTGGTACCGCTTATGAACCTCTGATTGGCTGGACTGACAATCTTTATGGGCCCACTGGTCTTGTGGTGGGAGCTGGTTGTGGAGTTATCCATTCTGTCTATGGAGATGTAAATGGCAATGCAAATTTAGTTCCTGTTGATATGGTAGTATCTGCAATCATAGCTGCAGCATCTAAGGCTATACAGAGAGGGTAAATATCATAAAGCATTTAAAACATTATTCTTTAGATTGAATCTGCCAAATTATGACTTAATGATTAATTAACAACTCCCGAGGATGGAAGAAGTAATTTAAAGAAAATATCATAATTTTTAATTATAATATTTTTTTGTAGATTTTACCTTTTACTTCACCCCAACCAACTTCTTCTAAATGATGTACTATCAACTATACCTCTATAATAATACTAAATATTAGTTATAAAGTTCAAATGACTTATTAAGGAAAGAAAGAAAAAAAAATCTATGCCATTAGAAGAGAATATTACGAGACCTTCTTTCAAATAGTCAAACGTCTGATTTCTTGTCCATGCAAGGCTGCAACTCATGCATTTTTTTTTATTTGGGAATAGTTTTTGTAGTCAGTAACAAAAAATTAAATTCCTCTATTAATGTGCCTGGTAAATTTAATTAATTAAATTTAATTTAAGATAAAAAATATAGTCATTTTATACTGACAAAATAAGATCGCTGGACTCAAAATTATCTTAAAATTAATTTTTTTAAATTGTTTTCCAGATCTCCTCCTGAAGGTTCAGAAGTTCCAATTTACAACTATGTTTCATCAACTGATAATCCTTTGAAATGGTCGGAATTCAAAAATTACATTGAATTGCATGGTGACCCAGTGCCTCCTATCAGAGCAGTATGGTGTTATTTCATGACTATTCACCGATTCTGGATTGCCCATTTGATATGTACCATGTTCCTCCATTACCTGCCAGCTCTTATATTGGATGCCTTTGGAAAACTCACCAAGTCTGACATGCCCAGGTTAGTTCATGAAACCGTTCTATAGCACTGTTTCCATACATGCTAAAATGTTGTCCTATATTACTTACTTCAAAACCCTTGTGAAGTATAAGAAAGTTAGATGTTACAAAATATAGTAATATTAAATTGTGTTGTATATACTTTCATCGGAAGAAGCGAGATATAAATATCTATACGCATTGTAATATACTCCTTTATTGAAAGTTGGTAAATATGGTTTAGTAAATTAATGTTGAACAGTTAAAAGGCAAGCTAATTTAGTTCTGCTAATGTCAGGGATTTGAATTAATTAATTCAGTGTTTATAGGGAAATAGTTAGCTTGCCAATTCATTTTTGACTATTTTAAAATAAACAGTGGTTAGTATAAATAATTTTAGTCTCTATGAGTTTTTTTATCTCATTGTCAGCATCCCTTACCTTGAGATAAAATAATTATAAATTTCAGTTTAATATATCAATATTCGGTACTTGTCAGTTAGGATGCCTCGACGAAACCTCCCTTGTTATCTAATGTTACATCACAACCTCCGTTCTGAAAGCTTTGAGTTATTCCATTGTTTCTTTTTGTTCCAATTGTGTTATTTTCGTCAAATTATGGATATTATTTCATTCTGAGAATTACCGTCTTCAGAAGAAGAGGCTATTGAATATTTTCAAAAAGGGTGGGATAATTCGAAACCCTACCACTTGTAACAAAAAAGAGTTTAAGCTATTTTAAATAGTATTAAACTATTTTGCCTACCAAAATAAATAAGGTGAAGTGAAAATAAATTGTACCTATGTTGTTTATAGTGTTTATATTGTTTCTTTTATATGTATGTATGTTGTTTAAGTGTTTTTTTATTATTTCATTTTTTTTTTATTATTACATTTATTTTTGTCTATTTCATATATATGTTCTAAAATTAAAGTGTTTTCTCATTCTTGTGGGAATTATTACATTTTTTTTTGTCTATTTCAATTTGAAACCAAACTGTTTTGTTATTATTACATTTGTTTTTGTCTATTTAATATATATGTTGTAAAATAAAAGTTTTTTTTTTTATTATTATTACATTTGTTCTTGTTTACAATTTCCATAGTATGAATATAATACAATAAATATGAATAAGAAGATAGGAATTATGAGAAGCCTTATCAGGCCCACAATACCTTATAAGGATTATTTAGAGTTATTTCGACAATAGAACCTTAAGGTATGATACAGAAGCTGGATTAAAAAGTTACAAGGTCACAGGTGGTGTCCCTCAGGTTTCAGTTCTAGGGCTATTGCTGTGGAATATTATGTATGATACGGTACTCAGGCATCCCTGCCAGAATAAACTCTTACGCTCGGTTTTGCAGACAATCTGGTAATCATAGTTTGTGCCAAACTCTTGGAGAAGATAACTTATAATGCAAACAAGGCAATCCTCACCATTCATCAATGGCTTTCAGTGGTAGGCCTCCAGCATGCTGATCATAAAACTGAGGCAGTATTAATAACGAGTAAGAAAGTGAGGACGACAATCAGTCTCACAGTTGGAGAGTTTGATATCTTGTCTAAGCCATTGATTAGATATCTAGGAGTGCAGATTAATGCCAGACTTCAATTTAATAAACACTTGCAGAAAGTTAGCTCTAGAGCAGTGCAAGTAAGTAATGAATTTGCCAGGATTATGCCAAATATTGGTGGACCAAGGGAAAGCTTCTGGCTATTGTAGCGAGTTCCATGCTTTTGTATGCAGCACCTATCTGGGCGGAAGCCTGCCAAGTGCAGTCATATGTCCGTAAAGCTATCAGTGTGCATCAAAGAAATGCCCTGCATGTCGTTCGAGCTTTTCACACTGTGTCCTATGATGCTGTATGCATCATCGCAGATATGCCTCAGATCAATCTTCTGGCTGATGAACGCAGCCAGATGTGCCAAAAAAAACCGAGAAGAGCTGGATACTCACTGGGCTACTTTAGCAAAAGAAGAGAGAAATCATACTCTTGAAAGATGGTAGATACGCTGGAATGTCTCATCTTCTAGAAGATGGATCCACCATCTGATTCCTGATTTATCAACATGGATATCCCATAGGGAGGTAGATTAATACTTCACCCAACTGTTTACAGAACATGGTTGCTCCAGGATCTCCTACTTAGTCTGCTTCAAAATAGAGGATGAAGCATCGTGCCTAATTTGAGATGATGAAACAGTGGAACATTCGTTCTTCTGTTGTTCAGGTTTTGCTCGAAAAAAGGAAGAGCTAGACAAGAAATTCTGAACAAAATCATACCCGGAAAACTTGATCACTTTGATGATGACTTGGCAGGAGAATTGTAGTGCTGCAGCAGACTATGCAGCACAAATCGGCAGAAGGCTCAGAACGATAAAGTTGAGTTCAGATAATGGTTTAGCTTAAATAAGCTGTACAAAGAAGAAGTAGGTATATAGCCCTTTTGACCCCTGCGAAGTAATGCTTGACAGCAGTTCCGCAGGGTAGTTAAGAAGAATTGAGAGGTGTTTTTTCAGTGAGTAGGAATCTCACAGTGTTGTGTGACCTTTTGTTGGTTGCACTTCATTTTATTAAATATTTTTTCCTTTTCCAAAAATAAAATTAAAAAAAAAATATGAACATATATGCGTTAATTTTTAGTTTTGCCAGTTTCCTTTAAAGCTAGCAGTATATTTGAATTTATGTTCAATACGCAAATATAAAATTTCATGATAATAAACAACATATATTTTAAGGAGATGGCAAATAATCAGAATTTGCATTCTTTATATGGTTTATCTTGCCAATGTTTTAACCCAAACATGTCGATCATCATCAAGGCTTAACATAAACAAATTAGAAAAATAAGATATAGATAGCATATAAATATATATATAAATTAACCAAGACAAAGAGATGGAAATGCATCTAAGATAATGGTAATATAAATAAAATAGTTATATAAACATAAGGTACTTATTTAATAGCAGGTAGCGTCAAAACCTCCCTTCTTATCTAATCTCATTTCACATAACCTCCCTTATCTCATCTAACCTAAGTTATTCCCTTGTTTATTTTTTGTTTCTTGTGTTAGGCGAGTTAGTGTTATTTAATTATGGATGTTGTCACATTGTGGGAATTCCCGTCTTCAGAAGAAGAGGCTATAAAATATTTTCAAGACGCCGGGATATTTGCAAAGGTCAAATATTGTGATGAAGGTCATCAAATGAAGTTCGAGGGGAAGGAGTTAAATGTAGATGTATTCGTAGTTGTAACAAAACTGTTTCTATAAGGAAAGGAACGTGGTTAGAGGGGTCGAGGATTTCTTTTTTAACGGCTTCAAAATTCATTTATGGGTGGTCCCATAATCTAACAACAATACTGTGGGGGAAAGAGTAGCTCTAACTATTCAACGCAACTATCGTAACATGGAACAAATTTTTAAGATTACATTTGTTTTTGTTTTTGTTCACAATTTCAATAATATCAATACAATACAATAAATATGAATACGAAGATATAATAATATGAATATAACACAATAAATTTGAATATGAAGAGCTTATCAGTGTTAAGGTTATAAACATTGGCAGATAGCAGTCGGACGCTACCCGCTATTAAATAAGTACCACAGGTACTGGTACATTAGCCGGGCGGGACGAAACCTCCTTAGCTGAGTTTCGCCGCTCAGAAGTCCTCTTTAAATGGTTCCTCCCACCTCATCCATTAATTTTTTCCCGGATTCGTCCTACGCAGAGCAATCTTGCATTTTCGTATTACAGAAATGGTTGCTGGCTAGCCTTGTAACAATAACTGAGAATAGTATGATGTGGCATTATGCGGGAAAGAGGGATTGTGGTAATCACCATCTAACAGCTGTTTAAACACAAAATAAAGGTTATTAAACTAAATATACATGTTTAAAAAATGTAATAAGATACAAATTTTAAAAATATATAACTAAGGTATATGAGAATAAATAATGGGGGGAAAAAAACTTAAAGAGAAATATGTGGCAATAAAATTGAGTATTGGCCAGATGAGAATAATGCAGTATACATACGTTTGATTTATACATTTTTCAGGTAATTTTTGTTCTTACCAATATAATATGAGTTACAATTAGGGGTAAAACATAGAGGAATCCATGTTCCACACCAATTTTTTTTTTTCTATAACAGCATTTCAGAATTAAAATATTAAACATATAATAATTAAAATTTTGTTTTAGCCTATTCAATATCTACAAGAAGGTGGATAAGTACTCAGAAGTTATATCATACTTCAGTATCAGAAGTTGGACATTCACAAATGAAAACATTAAAGCTCTATGGAAATCTTTGCCAGATAAAGACAAACAGACTTTCAATTTTGATATAGAATCACTTGACTGGAACAAGTTCTTCTACACCTACATTAGAGGTTTGAGGGTTTATCTTTTAAAAGATGAGATGGACACGATTCCAAAGGCTACTATTAGGTGGAGGAGGTAAGCCACATTTCTAATTTATTCTTATGAATCTCTGAAATTTATATGTCTCAATAATGTATTGTCTTAGATTTCAGATGGCACACAGAATAATGAAGATTGTGTTTAGTTTACTGGCTGTTCAAGCTGCTTGGTTTGTCATAAGGTTTTCATATTCATTAGTCAATGCCTGATATTTCAGTTTAATTAAACTTTTATATAAAATTAAATTTAAGAACTTTTATATCAACTCTTGTATATATTGTATTTAAATAAATAAAGTGAAGTTTAAAAAACAGAAACTTAAGAGTAATTTTTTGTACATATGTGTGTCCATTCTATTGTGACAAGAAGAGTCAATTGCTTAATATAAGCAATTATTACTATCTATTTAAATTGTATTAGTTAAACATTGACTAGAAATTTTAGAAAAAGAACATAGGTTTTTTATTTTAAACATAAAATGAAATGTTATGTATTTGAAATCAATGGACATTTTTAATAAAACTATTTGTTTTATAATTTTCTTATTCTCCTTTCTTTGTAAACTACACCAATGACAAATATGATTTATATTTTATATCTTGTTCTTGATATATACATCTAAAATTAAAAAAAAAAAACATAAATCCAAAAATCTGTTGTTTTTTTTAGAAATATTAGACACGGCTAAATTCTCGTTAGAAATAATTATTTCCTAAATAATGGTTGTTTGAAATCTCTGGTCAATAAGGAACATAAGAACTCATATTGAAACCAGCCACCATCTTGGAGTAGTGAAAGAGAACTAGTACCATTCCAGTCACTTCTGTCTACTTTCCAACATTATCATCAAATTGGAACAACACTAATAAATTTCTTCGATCAATAAATAAAGAAACTGCCCTCATTTTAGTAAAATTTTTAAACAACATAAAAGTGCTTTTACAAAAAAGTTGCCTTTTATTCTTATTTGGATTCTATAGAACTACTTCAGTTTTAAACTTTTAAGGTAAATGTACCGGTAATTGACACTTAAAAAGAATTTTACAACATTAATGTGAATCACAACTTAAGTTCTGGCGGTGGATCTTAGCAAATTTGTTTAATTGACAGCAAATTTAGTGTTTTGCCAATATCATTGTTTCTATGCAGACACTTAGTTTATTATTCATGAAAAACTTAGGAAATGCTGGCAATCTATTTTATTCCTGTAATAGACACCCAGATTTTAGGGGCTAAATATTTTTTATATAATTAAAAACAACCCAAAATAAATTCTCCACAGTTTTAAAGAAGGAAATAACAAACTAAAGATGAATAAATCAAAAATTCAAAACTTTTTTCTAAAAAAAAAGTGATAAGGAAAGCTCCCTGTAACAAACACCCAGACTTGCTACCTTGAAAAATCAACCAATTGTGGCATGATATTATTTGAGGTTCAGGCAGCATTCTAATAAGTATTCTAGCTTCAAATCTAATCGCCTTTGCTCTCTCTTTTGAATGTATAAAGCTTATTACATGTCACTAGTGGATCCAGGAAAAAGCTTCAATACCAAAGTTTTTTATTTTTTTTAATATAACGATAATTAATTTGGAAGAAAAAGAAATAAATTAACTACCTATACGAAATGGTGTTTAAGTTATTCTTGAAATCCTGTTAAATGTAATAACGAACAATAATACTTTTAGAGATTTTTAAAAATATTTTTTCCTTAAGGACATGGTGATATTTTTCCATTGGGAGAGGAGGCTTTCAGACTAAGTCCCCCTTCCCGCCCCCTCTCTCTTCCCCCCATAGAGCTGTTCACTAAAGGGTGTGTTACTGACCTCATTGCGATAATCTCTAACCACGTTTGCAAAATGATGCGAGCGTTGCCATGCATACAAATAATTTTTTTATTGTATTAACCGCTACCCACTATTTTTGGCATAGGGGGTTGTTCTAAAGGTACAACCAAAACTATTCTAGCCAGAGTGGGAGGGCCAAGTTTCATTCCGTGGGTCTGCCACGAAATTAAATAAAAATGAAATCATCAACGATATTTATTTACGATAGGTGGCGAATGACACTACATAATCTTCTAAGATGTCATGTACTTTACAGAGGAAGGTTTCCCTTTTAGGAGAACATTGAGACCAGCCTTTTTGTCTTAGAAGTGATCTCATCCCAAACTATTACTGACCCACCTTTATAATGCAGCCATTCCGAGATACTGCACTATGTGCCATTGTATTAGGGGGACTGGAAAGTAAATTCATTTTCTTACATTGAATTCAAACACATATTGGACACAAGTTTTTATTTTTAATTACTGATGGAATCATTATTGACAAACCTTTTGCCATCTAGTATGGACATTTTAATGCAGGATCGATAAAAATCAATTGGTTTTTAAGCGAAATATATAGAAATGGCATTTTGGACATCATTCAAATTTGTATATCTTTTGCCACTTATAAAGTGTTGAAACGATCCAAACAAATAGAAATCCTATGGTGCAATATCAGGGAATATGGTGGATGAGGTATAACTATCGATCTTGGGGGTATGGGGTACCCCTGACCAGGGTTAAAATTTCAGTTTTATCAGGATACCCACCATTTCGATTGGATTCAGCTATTTTTCCAACTCCGAATAGATACTGGTAAATTAGCCGGGCGGGACGAAACCTCCATAGCTGAGTTTCGCCGCTCAGAAGTCCTCTTTAAATGGTTCCTCCCACCTTATCCATTAATTTTTTCTCTGATTCGTCGTACGCAGAGGGATCTTGCATTTTCGTATTGCAGAATAACGCCTTGGAACTAATTGTTCACAATAAAGGTCTGCTATTCGCAGTTTGTCCAGGTACACTTCCAAAGGAGTAACGTCGGAAATACTCCACCAAACACACAAAAGAGCCTTTTTGGGGTGTAAACCTGTCAGTACTTCGCGGCGATTCTTTTGGAGAGAGCCACCATCTTTTGCGTTTTAGATCATCATACATGACCCATTATTCGCCTCCGGTGATCAAGCTATCAAAAACTCATCTGTATTGTGCCGTTGAAGCAATAAGTTGAATATAGTGGTTTCCCAATCTGTTGCAAATGTTATTGGATAGTCGAACAAGGTTGTCAACACTGGCAATTTCTCAATGTCAGACACGGATTTGATTTGACTTCTGCCTTTAACACGTCATTGTTTAACGTTGTTGGTCTTCCTGATCGATACGGGTTGGAAAGATCAAAATTATTTCATTATCAAAAAATTTGTCATTACGAACGTTTAATGCATTTGGATAAACACCGCAAAAGTATTTGGTAGCAACTGTTGAGTTACTAGCCATGTGAACCTCAAAAAGCATACAATGCGTCTTCTGGTATTTGGTTGGTCATTCCATCGAAAATTGCAACAAAAGAAAATTGATTCAATTATTTGCTACTAAAGATGTCACTATAACCTTAGAATGTCTTTGCCACGACATATACAAGTACACAATGAGCTGCCAAATGGCAATCAAATAGTGACATGCTCAGAAACGACATTACTTTTTGGTCTCCCTAATACTTTGTGGGGATGGACAACCTTGGTCATGGGTGCCTGGAAAGGGCACATTTGTATGGAGTTGTGAACTTTCGAGGAGGACACATATATACGGGTTGATTAATTTGGGAGGGTACAATATTTTTGTAAGATTTCAATGTGGAAGAATATTCATACCAGAGAACAAGAGAAAACTTCAAACAAGCCATTGAATATGAACTACAATATTTCTATTTTCACTTGCAGTGTTTTTTAAAAGAAGAAAACAATAGCATTTCTTGGGAGGGAGGAGGAGGTTATGTGCTATCGATCTTGAGGATATGGGTACCCCTGACCATGGTTAAAATTTACAATTTTATCAGGATATCCATCATTTCGGTTGAATTCAGCTATTTTTCCAACTCCGAATATAACTCAAGTTCACCAAGTAATAGATACATCATAACTAAGGTGACCAGATCTCACGCTTTTGGCAAGACAGTCCCAATTTTTAACAAATTGTCTTGCGGCTTTTTCAAAAAATCTTCGGAAAGAATGCACAAGCTAGGGAAGCTGTAGAGGATAAACGATTTTCGGCGACAACGTAGCTATTTCGCCAGAATATTAGTTTTATATTAGTTGTATACTATATTTTATATTCAAACTGCTCTCACAAAACATTTAAGCCTAAAACTGTGCTATTCTTGTTTTTTAATCTTTAAATCCAAAACCAACGACTATGATCATTGTACTATGATCAACCAAAGACCAAATTCCTAATGAAATCATTAAACTCTACGTTCCAAACTTACTTCCTATACTCCTACACATCTACAATTTTTTCCTCCAAAATTTCATTTTTCCTAAAGCCAGGAAAAAAGTCATTGTTCGACCGTTGAACAGAGTTCCTGCTCCTTCTTTGGTTCCAACTTCAGACCCATTCTCTAAATAATCCAGAAATTTTTACAAGCTTGCGGAAGTTTGAATTTGTATTAGGTGGTGGAATAGGAGTTGTTTGAAGGAATTTATGGACGTGGTTTGACGTATGGAGATGGGTAAGGAGTTTTAGAAGGAGCTAACGCGAAGGATTTACTGAAGGAAGTGGTTTTATGGGGGGGGATTTATAAATCTATAGGTTGAGAGAGTGGATAGAGGACCGTAAAGTAAGAAGTTCTAAGATGTAGGGGAGGGGGAGAGGTTTTGGTTCTGAGGACTTGGCAAAGAAAAACATCAGAAGGAATTGCTGACGGGAAGTAGGATAAAGCCACTTCAACTCGGTTCACCAACAAGAAACATGAGAACGCTTGAGAATCACAAAGATAAATCTTATGAAGCAATTCATAAGTTTCTTCAGGTGGGCGGGGTCGAATGGGCTAACGCGTGTGCACAGCACCACCGTTGCCCGGCAACCTGATATATGATATAAGTGATATAAAAATAGTCACGAGTTCGCGTCCCGGTACCAAGGCGTCTTTTAAATCCCCGCCCCCCACCCTCTGGCCCGGGAAAACCCCGTATAGCCTTAACGGTGAGGAAGGGGAGGATCCAAAAAAAAAAAAAAAATTCATAAATTTCTTCACTTTCACCTTTGACTGTAGGAAAGAAATGCATGTAACGGTTATTGAGTTAAAGTAAAGGAGAGAAAGGAAGGGAACTAATGAGGTGCTTGGAAGCGATGAGGATTGCCTTAGTTTTGTCTTTGTTCAGCTTCAGTTTATTTTTTTCTGCCCACCTATAGATACAGTCAATATTCTCTTGCAGTTTTCGGGTAGCCTCGGGCATCTCAGATGGTTGGAACGATAAGTAAGTTTGTAGATCGTCTGCATATAAGTGATAGTGAGAATGACGAATGGAGTCAGGAAGGTCGCTAATATAGATGGAGAACAGAGATGTCGAGAGTGAGGAGCCCTGAGGAACACCTCGTGTTAATTAAAGGGGCGAAGGAGGAGATTTGTCAAGAATAACAACTGTCGGGGAGCCATGGGGTGAAAAAGAGAGGAACCATTTCAGAAACTTATTCGATATGGGCAGGCTTTGGAGT